GTTCCTGACCATGGACCAAATCAGAGGACCCTAGTAGAAGGCTGTGATTATCTCAAAACTTTGTTCTGGGAGATGATGCCTACCCATGCTGTCTCAGTTTCTGCAGCTTGCCATCCAGAATAAACATTAACTTTGCCTTGGATCAGTAAGGTGTCTACAAGTTTCCACATGCTGCAGCTACCATATGCCACTGACTCTGCAATCTTTATAGCACTTAGTTCATTGTTTTACTGATTAAGTTTTAATTAATGTCTCCAGTCCTGTTTACATTCTTGCTTTGATAACTTCTAATTAGCCTGATTGAAATGCAGTTCTAAATATTTTTAGATTTATTAACCTATTTTTCTAATCAACCCATTCAGAAATGTTATTACACACCTCTGGAGCAGGTGAGACTTGAACCCGGGTGTTCCTGTCCAGGGTAGGGACACTACCACAAGAGGGCTCTGAAATTCAATTCTGAAGGTAAATAGTAAATACTCACCAGCCAATCTAATAAATCCCCCTCAACATATTGAGTGACTCTCGAATCACCCTTTCATCAAAGATTCTGGGAAAAAACAACCCTACGTTTTATAATCTGTCCTCTTAATTTAAAGGCTAGAGGCCAATCATCATCTTAGTGAAGCTCATTCTGGGTCAAATATGTCCTTCCTGAGTGTGGTGCCCAGAGCTACGCTCAGTAACTCAATGTGGTTTAATAAGAACCTTCTCTAAACATTCTTTGCTGATTTATGTACTTTGTCCCATCTTCTGACCTACCAATTGTCTCTGCTCAATTATATTATGTTTCTCAAAATTCAAAAGGTATTATCAAGTTGGTTTAGTTAACCACAGATAGTAGATCCTCCCCTTAGATTTTTTCCTTTATCATTAATATATCTATACTGTTGATCCTGAAATATTGGTCTTGAATAGATACCACTGCATCTCTATCAATGAATGCATTAAACTAATTTGCCACTTCACTCTGGCTCATTCTGCTTTCATGCTTTTATTATCTTCAAGCTTGAAATATTAGTCTTGGACCCACTCCTCACACCAAACAAAAAATTCAGTTAGAATATTGCTGCCACTTTTAGGTGCATTCACAGTTAGGCAATTAATTAATCTGATCTCATTGCACAATATTGGGTCTTTTAAGGTCTTAGCAAAAATTTGTAGCTTGTGGATGCAGTTGTTCAGTAGCTCTCCAAGCCGATTGTTCTGTGGTAAGCAACATCATCAGTGCAACCTCCAAGCTTTGGTGTTCTGCTTTGTTCCGAATTTATATGATCCTCTGGTGTGGTCATGTCACTTCCGGTTCTGTTATTTTAGCAGCGGTCTGTCTACAGGGTCTACTTCTGTGTTTGTTAATAGAGTCCCATGTTATACATGATTGCACACAAACCTACAGCAACACTGCGCCAAATGTTATCAAAGACTAAAGACTCCATACAGACAGTAAACAAGACCAACATGATATACAGAATACGATGTAGCAAGTGCAATAAACATTACATTGGACAAACAGGGTGGGAACTGACAACCAGGATACACAAACACCAGCTGGCAGTAAAAAGACAACCAATATTCACTTGTCTCAGTACACACAGACAATGAGGGCCATCAGTTTGACTGGGACAAAGTGACCATACTTGGATGAGCGAACACCAGACATGCAAGGGAATTTCTGGAAGCCTGGTTCTCAAGACAGAACTCCACTAACAAACACATACAGACCGCTGTTAAAACAACAGAACCGGAGGTGACAAGACCATCACACCAGAGGATTGTGTAAATCCGAAGGAAGCAGAATACCAATACTTTGATTAGAGGTCGCACCGATGATGTTGCCTAGAAGGGTAACAAAATGTTTGCACACCACAGAACCATTGGCTTGGCAAGGTAACGAACAACTGAATATTGGGTCTAATAAAACATGCTCTCTGCAGTTGGCTTCAAGTGTTTTCTAAAAAAAAACAATATTTCATGAACTTCTCAGCTTGAATAGCTTATATTTGAAGGCACTATAAAAATAATCTTTTCTTTGACTCAGCAAAGAGAGAGTCCTTATCCATTGTTATTGTTACTGTTACTGTTTAAATTATTGAAAAGCAATTTCCAAGTTCTAAGCTTCAAAAGAACAGACTGATTGGACTTGAACTGTTAACTGTTTTTCTCTCCACAGATGTTGTTAGACCTGCTGAATTTTTCCAGCTTTGTTTTATTTCAGATTTCCAGTATTCGGCTTTTATTTTATTCTCTTGACTTCCCTCCTCCACTTTTGGTTCCTTTTGCTTACACTTTCAAGACAGCTGTTCAATTCCTCAACCATCTTCATCAACTGGAGACTTTTTAAGAACAGCAATTGGAGAAACAAGTTTGAAAACTTTCCTCTCTCTGGTCAGAACACCAATTATAACAGGTCCCTAGAGAATAGGACGTGGATAACTCCAGCTTTATACTCCATAACTTGTGCTGCATGGGGATAGGTTATCCATCACATAAATGTTTACACTTCCTCAAATAAACTCTAATGCCATCATACTCCAAGTTGCTTTCGTTCACTTTAATGTCTAGAATTATAGAAGTAATTCCTAAAAGTGCTTTGTATTTTCATTTCTATTTCAAATCTAGAACTGTGCAAACAGAAAAATCCTTAATTTGCTATTCTCCAATTCTTTCCAGGTCTGATGTAAAACAGCCATGGAACATGGTTACAAATAGTGCAATGTGTAATATTAAAAATGCCCTGTCTACATTATTTCCTATTATCACATATCTTAGTCTTACATTTTGAAGTTATGCAAACATGTCACACAGTAATTGAATCCTCCCACTTGGACTGGTATTTCAACAGCTCAGTTAAATCTCCTTAATCTCTAGGTTACATTAATTTTTATTCCAATCCACTCAAATTCTGTGCCCCAAATGATCAAAAACCCATGTTTTATTTTAATATAAAAATACTTAGTCACATTTTAAAGGAAAATTTAAAGAGAAATTAAATTACATCTGCAATGACAGGCTCCACTTAATCCCACAGCCCAACTTGTCCTAAAGACTACATTCATTCTGGAGTTTCCATGTGTGAAATGCCACTGGAGATAGTCAAAATTGCTTCCTTCTGCACTACAATTTGTAACACCACAATGGGAAGAATGAGCAGCTATTTAGCCCCTTATCCAACTCTGCAGTTTATCAACTACTTCCACATCCTCAGTTTATCCCTCAACAGGAAAAAATCTCAACTTTTGGATGTACTCAACACCAGTTTCCACAGATCTTGAGAGTAGATTCCAAGAGTTCTCAACTTGGAGTGAGTGGTTTTCTCACCAGAATCCTAAATGGCTCTTTATTTTCTATTTTAAAAAGGTAGAAGATGTCCCAACATTACAATGCCACATCCTGTCTGCCCACTTTATTTCCATTAGTGTGGTGGGACAGTCTGGAGTTGGGCAGGTGCCAATGCAGGCAGTTTGTAAAGCATCTCTTTTCCTTGGGATATCGACCCAGTTCTGTAGATGAATGTTAAGCTTCTACCCATCACCATTTCAACAGATGGCTGAGTAGAATGTAAAAAAAAATTTAAAAACAGAGAATTGACTTTAAAAATCAATCTTAATGCTGTCGAAATCAGACTCGAGCACTTTATCCACTAGAAAATGTACTCCAATACATCTGAATACTTTCACAATGTTGGTCAATTTAATAATCACCTACTTTAAGAACAAAACACCAGTTGCTATATTAAAGACACTTCTTCATATCATGTCTGGTTATGGTATGATGCTAGGAACAAATTTTCCAACTCCAGAATAGACAACCATGATTCACGACCTCTGACCTTAAGCTTCACACAAACTTCAGAAACCCGTCTGGTGTCACTGAATTAAACTCAATGAAATGCAAAATTTAGTTAGTGGTAAAATGGCAGTCCTGATGCCAGTGTTTGTACATAATGGGCCATGACCGGTTCTAGTTAATTTGGCAGCCTGTGGGAACAGGGTCACAATCACAGAACTCTGGTCCCCCCACTACATCTAACCTCTATTCATGTCTGCCCAGTCTGGGTCACCCCAAATTGTAATATCTATTCCTGGGCCAACAAGTCAAATTCTAGATTTGGCAGTTTAAGTATCTAATCTGCCAAACACTGAGAAGCTTGTATGTTTCAATTGGAATCACAGAATCCCTGTGGAAGCAGGGCATTCAATCCGTCGAGTCACACTGACCATGCGAAGAGCATCCCACCCAGACCTGCATTTCCCATGGCTAATCAACACAGCCTGCACATTTCTGGACACTATGGGCAATTTAGCATGGCCAATCCACCTAAGCTACACATCTCCAATCTGTGGGAGGAAACCCATGCAGGCATGGAGAGAGTGTGCAAACTCCACGCAGACAGTCACCCGAGGCTGGAATCAAACCCAAGTCCCTGGTGCTGTCAGGCAGCAGTGCTAACCGCTGAGCCATCATACCTTCCCAATTAAATCACATCAATTTTCTAAATTTGGGTTATAAAACCATTCTAAGATAAAACCACCGACATCCAGGAACTAATTTAGCAAACCCTTGCTACACAACATCCAAGGAAGTCCTTATTCAGGCAAGTGCAAATCTGTACACAATACCCAGGTGGGATCTCACCTTCGTGTTTAACGTAGAACAGTACAGCACAGGAACAGGCCTATTTGACTCACCATGTCTGTGCGAACGATGCCATTCTAAACTAAACCCATCTGCCTGCCTGTGGTAAATACTTCTCCATTTCCTGCCTGTTCATGTGCCTGCCTAAATGTCTTTTAAATGTTGCTATTTTGTCTGCTTCTACCACCTCCCCAGCACCGTGTTCCAGGTTCCCAGCATGCTCTGTGTAAAATAAAAAAAAACACTTGCCTTTCACATCTCCCTGAAAACTTTCCCCCTCATTTTATACCTACTCACCCTTGTATTTTCCCAGGGTGGAAAGGTCAAAGACTGCTAAACAGATGTTCAGTTATCAATACACTTACTTTTTTAAGAAGGTCAATAGATTTCCTTTTATTAAAAACCTCAGATTCTGGCCGCAGAAGTGAGAGAAAAATAGGAGCAGGTTAACATCACAAAGAGCAGGTTAGCAAATTCAAAACCATTTATTCACCCCACCTGTCTCTCTGCTGTCTGTTACACTGTGGTAGATCCAATGGACATGCAATACCCCACAAGACGTCAGCGTTGAAAGAACTGAGGTTCTGTCATATTATGAGATTTTGGCAAGACAGGAACTGGGGCTTGATGTTCCCACTTCAAAAAAATTGCAGATTTGATTCATCTTTAATGGGCTGAGCTCCAGCACTTCTCAGCCTTCCCAATCTGAGAGTCCTGCACTTTGGTAATGTTCCAGGTCCAGGTAACTAAACGACTATTCCACACAGTTAACTAGTCACAAATGTTAGTGAGAAAAAGCACAGCCCATTTCTGTATTTAAACATGTGCCAAATAGCTTAATATGTTGAACAACCTCAAAAAAGGCAAGACAAAGAATTGGCTTATTACTTCCAGGCAAATTTGGGACTTGAGAATGTTAAGAGGAGGCAGAATATAGATTTTCACACAGGGAAATTAAAAAAAAACTTATCATTTGGGAGAGATTAACAGAAAACCATGATCTCATCAATACTGGACAGTTGTATCTCAGCTATACAAAGTGAAAGAAACTGACCAGACTGACTATATTGCTCAAGAGCAAGCCACCACAGATTTGACAAGCCATTGGCTTTCTGGTTCAAAATGAGTAATGATCAGTGAATGGGTCCCTGTTCATTTGAAGGGTTATGAAGCCTACCCTGGCTCAGGCACCTCTTCACTATGAAAGAAATGCATTTCCAAAATTCCGATTTTTGGACCATTGGCACAAGCACCTTCTGCAACACCATCGCTTGCAGGTACTTTTGTTCTGAGCGAAGGGAGAGGCTGCAGTGAATCCTCAGGGTGAGATATGGGCATTGGCCACAAGGCATTATAAATAAAGTTGTTTGTACATTGGACATAAAGCAGCAAGATCAAAAGAGCATTCATCAGACAGGTGACAGCATTCAATAGATCAAGTTCCTATACACAACAGCACTTAAAAGCATCTGTATAATACCCCGCAAAGTACAAAGCACAACATTGCAAAAAAAAAGGCAGCTTGACCTTTCCAAAGCTCCAGTTACTGGCAGACAAAACTGGTTTCAAAAATTTGTGCTCTTCATTAAATGCTCCTTGGCACACAACATTCTCCACCACCACCAACCCTCCCCCCCACCCACACCCACACCCCAGATTCAACAACGGATGTTTCAAGTTTGGCTTCTCCACAAAAAACAAGGAGAACAAGTACTCAAGAATGTGAATAAATCTTAAAACTACAGTTTCATATGGGTCCGTGACCTTTAACATGGTTTTAAAAATTGCATTTCTCAATGGCAGAGTCTTTTAGGCACAAGCACAGAGAAATATTGGAGGGCAACAGATTCAAACAAAAAAGAAAAACTGCAGTTGCTGGAAATCACAGGTAGGAAATTCACGAGACAGAAAAAGATAGATCAACAAGCCTCTGTGGAAGGAACAGAGGGGTCAATGGTCACTGATATTGACCTGACCAGCATTCCCCATTCATTTAATCTCCCATTTCCAAAGCTCTTTCTCAGGAGGACCTTTCTTTCAAACATTGCCAAAATCAAGGAAAAGATTATCTCAATTATTCAGAAGAAACAGTGTAGAATTTTAGAACAGTCAAGATTAAATACACTGCTTCCAACAAGCTGTGTTTGCAGAGATCTCAGGAACAATAAAAAGCCTATATGCAGAAAAATATATTTTCACACCCTCCCCCACCCCCACCCCTCTCCTGCTCCCGCTCAGCCAAGCTAAGGGCTATTGCTCTGGTAGATAAGTAGTGATGAGGAGATCTTCAGTTTTCTTTGATGAGCTGATCCAGAGGCTGGTGCTTTAGGAATACATGGTGAGTTGTAGCCACTAGAACAGAAAATGGACAGAGTCATTAGCCACCTTTTTTTGTTTTACAACAGCAACACCTACTTTACTATAAATCAGTAGGATTAGGGATAGTATGTTTAGTATTAAAAATTATTGTAATTTTGTTCCTAATAAAGTGGGAACATTTTGCTTTAGTACTGACTGTGCTCATATTGATTTGACTGCTTTGGAGTCTGGTGTCTGGATGGGATACTCTTCAGAGGGTCAGAGTGGACTTGATGGGCCAAATGTCCTGATTCTATGACAGAACCTCTTGTAAGAGCACAACGGGTGTGACCTTTAAAAGGACGAGATTGGGCACATCTGGGAGTGAAACTAGTTGTTGCGCAACTTCCATTCCACACCCAGGTGACTAACTCTCAACCTGTCATCCGACGTGTCTGAAGGGCCCCTCACAGCTGCTAACCATGGTGATAGAGCGATTAGAGCCAAGTTCCAGCTTTTCCCACATACAGAAAACCAAATTTGAAAAAAAAGGGACTAGCTTCCATCCCTGAAGGATCATTCTCCATCTGACTGATAATGAAACACAAAGTCCCTTTCTTCACAAAGAGCAGCCAAAGGTGTCCGACAGCTTTGTTCAATTTCCTCTCAGAATTCCCGTTTAAATTCACAACATTTTTTAAAAATCAGCCTGTTCAGAAATATTCGTACACAACTCTGGAACAGGTGGGATTTGAGCCAAGGTCTCACGGCTCAGATGTAGGGACTCTACCACTGAACCACCAGAACCCTTCAGAATAAATGGTCCAGCAAGGACATATTAAGATGCTACTGGAGCCAACAAGAACACGAACTGTAGTTGGCAGGATTCGAGCCTACACAGGGGTACACCCAAAGGATTTCTAATCCAACGCCTCCACATTCAGCCATGACCACGCACACCTCTGTCTAGATTCAATCCCATCCTCAACTATTTACCGGTCATCATTCGCTGCTTTTTCTGTATCTTCTACCATTCTATCCCATTTCATCACAGATGAAGCTCCACATTTGTTTGCCATTTCTCTCCCTGCCCTTTGCAAAACTGCACCTCAATTGCCTCCTCTTTAGAAGGCAGCCCATAGTTCTGTAACAGGCCAACTCTGATCACAACTTGTTGTGATCACAATCCATTCTCACCCCACAGATGCTGGTGCCATCTCAATGATTTTCACTCTCAAATGTTCCTTTTAGGAGCACGAGTAGACCATTCAGCCCATCAAGCCTGCCTCGCCATTCCAGATCATGGCAGATCATCTCCTCAATACCACTCTCCTGAACGTCCATACCCTTTACTGCTATTAATCTCCAGAAATCTAATCTATCAATCTCTGTCTTAGACATGCTTAATGATTGATCTTCCACAGCCCTCTGGGGTAGAGAATTCCAAAGATTTACCACCATCAGTAAAAGAAATTCCTCTTTTTTTCCCTCCACAGTCTTAAGTGGCCTACCCCTTATCCTGAGCTTATGCCTCCGATTCTACAGTCACCAACCAGGTAGAACATCCCATCTACATCCACCTTGTAATGCCCTGCAAGAATTTTAAGTTTCCCAATGAGATCACCTAACATTCTTCAAAATCCCAGAGACCACAGACCCAATTTTTTTAATCTCTCCTCAAAGAAGGATCCTGCCATCCCAGGGATTAGTCTAATGAACCCTGGAGTTCTAGATAATACAATAATCAGAATCTTCTAAATGTCTCTCCACTGGCACTTTGCCCATCTCATTCTCAAGGGTCAAACTGCGCATTACCTCCTTCCTCATTTTTCCATAGCAATACGTTTCCAGTCTGTTCTTCTGAACCCACTACAAATTCTGCTCTTTGTCCTTTACTCTATTACTATCTCAGTTTGAGCATGAAGTCCCCCAAAACAATTAATTCTTTCATTGCAAATTTGATCCTCTATATTTTTCCTATTAGTTGTTGGATTAAGTAAAGTCCAGAGTGGCATGGACGAGTTGGGCAGAAGGGTCTGTTTCTGTGCCGTACATCGGTCTTGAAAGACAAAGCAGTTTGGCTGAGGAAACCTCTGTGTAAATGGTAAACGACTAGGGATATGATCCTACCTCCACAATGTTGACTTTGATGGAGCCATTGTTGTCTTTATCCAAAGCTTTGAATGATCCTGCAAGTGAAACAGAAAACAAGTGATGTTTAACCAGCTCTGACCACAGTGACCTGCATTTATGTAGCTTCTTTAAATGTAGAAAAACTGTCACCTCACAGGAACTGTTATAAACCATTAGATAGGGAGTCACATAAGGAAATTGTTAGGACAGATGGCCAAAAGTTTAGTCCAGGTGAAAGGGTTTTAAAAAGATTACCTAGAAAGGGAGGGCGAGAGGTTGAGTAAGGAAATTCCCAAACTGTTGGTCTAGACAGCTAGAGGCATGACCAGCAAAAAAAAAAAAACAGGAATGTACAAGAGGCTAGAGCTGGAAAAAAAAAAAAAAAAAATTAAGTTTGCTGATCTGTTGGAGGCTTGAGATACAGGATGGGTGGGATATTGCAGAAGGACTTAAAAAGGACACTGTATTTTTAAGTTTATGATATATCTGTCAGGAAGAGCAGAGATTGGTGGGCAAACTGGACTGTGTGTGAATCAGGACACAAGCAGAGTTCTGAATCAACTTAAGTCCCCATTTTCTCTAAGTACCAGGCCTAATTGATGCTGCTCGCAAGCTTTGAAATGTAAAGATGTGGTGACTGAAATTTTCAGGTGAAGTGATCGAATAAGGGAAGCAGGAAGAGGGGGATAAAAGTACAATTCTTTGTCTATTTAATTAAATCAATTATTGCAGAACGTACTGTCTGAAGTGACAGTGGAGGCAGATTCAATAGCAGTTTTCATGGAAGGTTGGAGCAACCTTGACCCTGCTCCACTATTCAATATGATCAGTGAGCTCAATACTATAATCCTACCCCTCACCCCATATCCCTCCACCCCTTTAGCCACAAAAGTTACATCTGCCTCTTTCTTGGAAACACACTGTTTTGGCCTTAAACATACTGTGCTAATGAATTCCACAAGCTCTCTACTCTCTAGGTGAAGAAATTTCTCCTCAGTCTTAAACAGTTTACCCCTTATCCTTAAACTATGACCTCTGGCTCTGGAATCCCCACTATCAGGGACATCCTTCCTGCATCTAATTAGTCTCGTCCTGTTAGAATTTTATAGGTTTCTATGTGATCCCCTCATTCTTCTAAACCCCAGTGAGTACAATCATAACCGACTCAATCACTCTTCATACATCAGCCTTGCCATGAATCAATTCAGTAAACCTTTGCTACACTCCCTTTATAGCAAGAGCATCCTTTCTCATTAGGAGACCAAAACCACATACAATATTCCAGGTGTGGCCTCACCAATGCCCTCTATAATTATAGCAAGTAATTGTTGTTCTTGCACTTGAATTCTCTTGCTCTGAAAGCCAACATGCAGTTTGCCTTCTTTACTGCCAGCGAATGGTGCATGGGGACAACCAGCCCAGATTGAACATTTCCCTCTCTCAATTTGCAGCTGTTCAAATAATAATCTGCCTTCCATTTTTACTACCAAAGTGGATAACCTCTCATTTGTCCACATTACACTATCTGCTATATGTTTGCCCAATCACCCTGTCCAACTACATTTAGTTCCCTCATCTAAGTCACATCCATTAGCTCCTTCTGCTCAACTCTACTAGTTACATCCTCATAATTCTTCAAGTATAATTTCCCTTTTGTAAGTTTATGCTGACTGTGCCTGATTCTATCACTGTTTACCAAGTTCTCTGCTATAAAAGCACTGATAATGGACTCTAACGTCTTCCCCTCCACAACCAACATCAGACTCTTGGTCTATAATGCCCTGTTTTCTGTCTACCTGCATTTTTAAATTGTCGATTACATTAGCTACCCTTCAATCTGCAGGAGCTGTTCCAGTAAAGAATCTTAGAAGATGATCATCAATGCATTCACTATTTCTAGGACCACTGTGGGATGCAACTGAACTAATTAGAAACTTCTCTCAAAAAACAAACACAAAGGGCCAAATGGCTACTCTTTCAGTAGCCAGACACTGCCATTTACAGATTTTAAACATTTGTTGATTCTCTCCAAATTACACAAAAGAAATTGTTTCAATATCAGCCTGAGGCAATTAAGCAGCATAGCTCACTTCAGAAAAATGTGTCTTTTTAATCACATGCTGTCAATTAGGTCCAGATGTGAAACTAAAATTCTGCTGTCAACACACGCAATGCACTCCCATTTGGAAAGTCACATGATTTTGATCTCACTCAGCTCCTGCTAAATGCAACAAGCAAGCAGGATCTGTCACGTGGTTTTCCAGCTCTCGGAACTGCAGCCTGAACCCTTACACCTAGTGACCGAACAAAGGAACGTCATTATATAGGGCTATCAAATTTACTGCAGAAAATCTGGCCATCCAGCCCAAATGGTTTCTGCTCCACAGGCAGCTCCTCTCCTCCGCACCAAATTTTCCTCTCACCTCATTATCATAACCCTTTATTCCTTTGTCCACCATCGCATCACCTAGCTTCCCTTTGCAATTCACTTCAACCACTCTCTCAGTTCTCCAATTCCACATGCTCACCACTCCCTGGGTGAAAGAGGCTTCTACAGAATTCATTAATCTCTGTCAGTTACTCAGTCAGTCAGTCTCTTGTGTTTTAAGAGCCCGTAGGTTTGGATCCCTGGACAAATGAATGCCTGCATCTACCCCCAAATTCCTCAGGTAGGTCACCCAATCCTGCTTTATTGGAGAAAAGGGGGGCTGTGTCTGTTCTGACTTGGAGTGTAATAGTCAGTTTCAGAATCTCCACATCTATTTTGAGCTCTCAATATCAATTTTTATGGGGACAAGCATGCACTGTACTCAGCTTATAGTTTCATACACAGCACATGCCTTAATATTGCTGCCTGGCACAGCCCAATAACAACGTCGCGGGAATGATTCCAAACAGATTGGCCAAGTGAATAGGTGACAACAGAACCACACTTACTGAGCATGGCATCCAACCGGACTAAGCAGGAAATGTAGTTGTCAAAGTCCATGTCGCCAGATTCATTGGCATATCGGCGATACAGCAATCGGTAAAGTTCATCATTCAGGGGATATCCTACGAACAGAGAGAGACAGAAATAGAGAAGGTTAAATGTCAAAATCCAGCAAAATCCAACCAAGCAATGATAAAAGAATGGGAATGCATTTCCAAGTCAGGATAGGATGAGATTTGGAGGCTGGTGCAGAGAAATGTGGGAATTTTCCCATGAGTCTGCTCTTCCTTAGATGGAGGCTGCAGGTTTGGAAGGTACTGTCATGACAGCCTGAGCAGACTTGGTGCTATAACAGTGATGGGAAGACTTTATGGCTATTTTATTATGGATTTCATTATAAATACCAATCTGAAGCTCAACGCATAGGACGCTTTCAGAGTGATTTCAGTATGTCGAGTTTCAAATACTACTGAGATATTTCAGTTAACAGAGGTGAACTGCCCATTTGATAATGTCTCAAGCATACAGAAAATATTGAACAAAGGCCCCATTTAAAGACATTTGCAAAGGAATAAAAGTGCAAAACAGATAATAACAACTGGATGAGAGCATGTTTTGCAACTGAAGGTAAAGGAAAATAAATAAAGGTTTCTGCTGTGCAGAAAGTAATTCAGGGCATTGGTCTAGTGAATGTAATCAAAGTGAAAAGGATGAAAGCTCTATCAATTTTAAAACTGGGGAAGAAAGTCTGGTTAAAAAGACAGGAAAGCAGAAGCCAGAGTTAGACAGAAAGATCAACAGAAATCTTATATTGGCAGAGCACCTGAAGGGAACATTCAGAAGGAACACTGAAGGCAATTTTATTTGAGTGACGAATGAATAGGCTGGGGCTTTTTTTTCCTGAAGTGTCAGAGGCTAAGGGGTGACCTTATAGACATTTGTGAAATGAGGGACACGAATAGGATGAATAGCCAAGGTCTTTTTCTCAGGGTGGTGGTGATTAGAGTTCAAAACTGGAGAACATAGGTTTAAGGTGAGAGGAGAAAGATTTACAAAGGGACCAGAGAAGTAACTTTTTCACAGAGGTTGGTGCATGTATGGAATGAGCAGCCAGAGGTGGCGGTAGAGGCTGGTACAATTACAACATTGGATGGGTATATAAATAGGAAGGGTTTAAGAGGGATATGGGCCAAAATGCTGGCAAATGAAATTAGGCCGTATTGGGATGTCTGGCTGGTGCAGACAAGTCAAACTGAAGGGTCCGTTTCCATGTTGCATAACTCTATGAAGGGAGACAGGCTCCAATTATCATAGAACATGGAATAGCTGTACTACACTGTATCAGACAAGGCACACCACCACCACCCTAGCATTGGGCTGAAGTGAAGCAGATTGGATCATCCACTCAGAGTTCCTGAGCATCCCATACAGAGATCAAGACTTGGGGTTTGGAGGGAGTTTGTGTGCACGTGCAAGAGAAGACAACAGTCCAGAAGGAAAACGTGAAGAGAGAGCTCTTACATATTTTCCTGGAGAGCTGTGTTTGAGAACCTATACAGTGACAGAAGTATGCAAGGAGGTGAAGAGCCTCAGAGTCAGCATGTACAGCCACCCACAGCCCTGGACTTCTAGACCAGAATTCTCTCAGAATTTTAGAGGCTGCAGCGTTTTTGGTTTTTTTTGTAGGCAATCTCCAAACCAGATGCTGTTCAAAGGTGCCCCATCTAGTGATTAGTAGAGGAACTACATTGACCAAGGTCAGCTCATGATCTTGCTGCAGTCGATCAGCTCTTCATGCCTCTGCCAGCTCTTTGAAAGAGCTGATCAATGATTACCAATTCCCCAGTACTTTCTTCAAACCAAGGATCTACAGATATGGGAGCAGCTCCACCTGCAAGTTCCCCTCTAACTCATGACCATGCTGATTTGGAAATACATAGCTGTTCCTTCAGTGTCACTGGGTCAAAATCCTGAATCTGCCTTCCAAACAGCACTGTGGGTCTACCTACACCTCAGGGCCCCACTTCACATTCAAGGGGCAATTAGGGATGGGCAGCAAATGCTAGCCTAGCAAATGGTGCTCTTGAGCTATGAAGAAAAAAAAGGAAATACCAATAATTGTTGAAATTAAATCAGAAGCCACAGGACACCAAGTTGTAGTCCAACAGGGTTATTTGAAATCACATGCTTTCGGAGCACTACTCCTTCGTCAGGTCAAGTGACTTCACCCGTTGAAGGAGAAGTGCTGCAAAAGCTTGTGATTTCAAATAAACCTGTTGGACTACAACTTGATGTCCTGTGGCTTCTGACCTTGTCCACCTCAGTCCAACATCAGCACCTCCACATCACTGAAATTAAATGGTGGGGAAAAAAAAAATAACAAAGACAGATCATTTGGTTCATTCATACCCAACACAGGCCTCTTTCCACTCTAGTTATCTCCTCTCGCCCAATCCACATAGCCACTATTCCTTTATCCTTAATGTGCTCATCCAACCTTCCCTTAATTTAAGTCCATACTAGTCACCTCACACCTTTCATGTGGTAGCATGCCCTTCAGTCTCAGCACACTGTGCGCTCTCCTGAATTTCTGATCAGATTCACGTTACAGAGAGTGTTGAAAATGGCTTTGTCATAGTACCAGCACTGATGGGCCGAATGGTCTCTTCTTGCATTATAACAGTTGTGTCCTTGGCACCACCTTCTCCCCACAGCCACCTCTGTGGAGCTATAGGTCAGTCAATCACATATCCTACCTGCTGCTTCAAAAGCCAGAGGAAGCTCCTGGCTGTTGATGGTCCCTGACTTGTCGGCATCGAATCTTTTGTAGACAGCCTGTGGAGGTGCATTACACATTTAGTTCAAACAGCACACAAGGTCATAATGACTAGCAAGGGCACAGATTCACTGGGGAGAAAAGTAATAGTCTGAACCGCACGTCTACACGACAAAAGTGCACAAATTCAGATAGAAAAGCTATGGAGGATACACACATCTCACCATCGATTGCCAGGAGGCAATGGACAGTTAGTGGTAGATAGCTGGTTACACAGCTATCAGCCTCCACCCACTAAACTAGTCCAAAGGTTTCAGCTAATGTCGGGTGGTATTGTGGCTCAGTGGTCAGCACTGCTGCCTCACAGCGCCAGGGTCCCAGGTTCGATTCCACCCTCGGGCGATTGTCTGTGCAGACTTTGTACGTTCTCCCCGTGTCTGCGTGGGTTTCATCAGGGTGCTCCAGTTTCCTCCCACAGTTCAAAGATGTGCAGGTTAAGTGGATTAGCCATGCTAAGTTTCCCATAGTGTCCAGGATGTTCAGGCTAAATGGATTAGCGATGGGAAATGCAGGCTTACAGGGATAGGATCGGAGTGGGTTTCCGAAGCATGGGGATTGTTTTCCCAGACTAGAATCAGCTCGGCTCATGGAGCTGATTATAACTTTGAGTGAATGTCAGAGATCTATATGGAGAGCATTATATCACTGCAGCAAATTTCAGTGATTGTCTCCAAGGAGGTTGTTATAGCAGGGTTGCTCTTTACAAGCATTGCATTCAGATCTGGGAACTGCACAGTGGGTAAATATATTGAGCTGGGAAAGGTCATAGTGCAGATTGGCTAGAATTACATCAGGTTAGAAAACTGGAATTACAAGATAGTTTGTAGATTAGGCCTGTATTTCTTTTGGCATATAGCAAATACAAGGGGCCTCTTCTGGTGCAGCGGTAGTGTCCCTATCACAAGGACCAGTAGGTCCAAGTTCAAAGTCCCACCTGCCTGGGCATTTGTCCTAACATCCTCGAAGAGGGCTGATTAAAAATAAATTTATTATAGATAAAGGGGACATCCAATCAAGGTGTTTAAAATATTGGATAAGAAATTCAGAGAAACCATTTCCTCTGATGACAGCACCCAGAACAAGATGAACAGCTTAAATTTAGAATGAGGTCATTCAGGTGAAAATCTGCATCATGCTTTCCCCAACCCCTCCCGTCCAAAAGCTGCTGAAAATGTGAAAGACAGATACATGTGTGTTGGAGAAAGGTGTTGAGACATTTGGAATCCGTGGGGTTGATACCAGACCAGCCAGATGGGTCAGTGAACTGGAAGAGGCTGAATAACTGACTTCCATTCTAATGGGGTTTTTTTTGGTTAACAATTGTGAAGTTAATTTTTCATTTCAGAAACTTGCAGTGGCTTTAAAAAAAAAAAAATCTCACAATAATTCATTTACAAAATTTGAAAAATGTCACATGGAAATTTAGTGCAGAAAAGTGGGAACTGATTCATGGGGGTGCTGGGAGAATGAGGAGGTAACATTAAATTCTAAAAGGGATGCAGAGGGGGGAGGAGGACCCAGGAATATGCATGCACAGAAGGTGGCAGGATAGGCTGTGGATGGGGATGCGAGGGCTGGTAGAACATACAGCATCCTGTACATTCTAAGGGGAAGCTTAGGGTCCAAAAGCAAGGCTTAGTAATTTACAGACATGCATACCTGCCACTTCTTAATCTTATCCCAAAGATATTTAAATTCTTCAAAGCCCAGTCTTCCAGTGCTGTCAGCCTGAAATCAATGGGTTAAGGCAGTGTAACAAACTCAATTCAACATTCACATACTCTGACTCCAAACAGATGTGGATTTCTCCTGAACTTCAACATGAAAATAAAGCCTCCACTAAGAAAAATGCTTTTCATAACCAGACATCTTAAAGCACTTGCTGTACATTTTGAACTGCGGCCAATGCCGTGGCACAAGAAACACAGGCCTATCCATACTTTTAAAAATAAAATTAGCCCAGTGCATTCCACACGCAGTCTCCAAAATCAGCAGCTGAAGAAACAGATTTCTGCGGCATTCTTTTTCGAAGGCGAAGTCATGCTTCTGGAATGGGCTCCAATTCCTCACTGATGGAGGAATTTACAGAGGGAACACAGGATATTGACTGGGAGCAATCGATCAGAGCAAAGGTAGATACGCCAATCACATCTAGTCCAATTCAGCCCCAGCAGCTAGAGGTCGTGATACAGAACCTGCAATAACATTGCAACTTTAGTGTAATAAATATCTCCCAACACCTCAGAGAATTATCTGACACCAAGTCAAATAAGGAGACACTGGGCAAAATTTGTAGGTCTTAAAGTGGGAGAGAAGTGAGATGTTTAGGGAAGAATCTTCAGAAATGGGCATTTAGGCAGCTGAAAACACAATCATCAATGATAGGATGACAGAATTTAAGACCCACAGGCCAGAACTGGAGGAGTTCCCAGACAGTTGTACAGCTTGGGTGGAATTCAAGAAAAGGAGGATGAAACTATGAAGGGAATTGAATAGAAGGTGAACATTTGAAATGAGGCATCACTGGAACGGGGGCCAATGCGCAGAATAGCAATAATAGATTAGAAGTTGGCATGTGTTAGGACAGGATTAGAACAGCAGATTGAGTCTGGGGTCTGAGCAATGGGAGGACAGTCCTATAACAGCAGCAAGGTCTGCCCTTGTAGCACATTCAACATCATAAAACATTGTAGGATGCTTCACATTATTAATGAAAGCAGGAGACTGAGACACACAAGGAGATCAGTAGAGATAACTAACAGCTTAACAGACAGGTTTTAAGGACGTCTGTTTTAAAAGGTGGGAAGCGGAGTTAGAGAGGTGAACAGGTTGACTGAGGGCATTTGAGAGTTCAGGACCCGTGCAGCTGAAGGAACAGCCACCTGTGGTGGAACAATTAAAATCTTGGAACACACATTTTGTAAGTTTCAGTGGTGAGCATTTTGAGAACTGTGACCATAATTCTGTAAGTCTTAAGTTATTTCAGGGTAAGAGTAGCCCTCAGGTGAAAGTCTTAAATTGGAGGAAGGCTAACTACAAAAAATATTAAGTAGGAACTGAGGAATGTATCCTGGGGGCCACTATTTGAGGATAACTCCCCATCTGGCTTGTGGGAATCTTTAAAGGCCGATTGGTTAGAGTTCAGGACCAGCATGTTACTGTGAAAATGAAGGAGAAGGATAGCAAGAATCAGGAACCTTGGATAACAAGAGAAATTGAGCTTTTTCAAAAAGAAAAAGGAGGCATCCCTAAGGTTTAGAAAACTAAATACAGGCAGAGCTCTCAAAGAATACAAAAGATAGCAGGAAAGAACTCAAGCAAGGAATTACACGCTAAGAAAAGGGGCCACAAAAATGTCTTTAACAAACAGAAATAAGGAGCATCCAAAAGCATTTTATATGAATATTAGGAGCAGGAAGGAAGCTGGGAAACGATAGGTCAGTCATGGACAACGTAGGGAATTTATGCATGGAGATGAAGGAAGGCTTTTGAATTAGGTCCTTAACAAATGCTTTGCATTGGTATTCACAAAGGAGAAGGACATAGTGGATGGTAAGTCTTGGGTGGGGTATGTTGATGTTCTGGGCCATGTCAATATGAAAAAAAGGTGGTGGTGTTTTAAAAAGCATCAAGGTAGACAAGTCCTTGATGGAAACTATCTCAGAATGCTGAGGGAGGCAGGTGAAGAAATTGCTGGGGCCTTGGACAAAACTTTTGGACCCTCTTTAATCACAAGAGAGATCCAAGAGAATCGGAGAATCACTAATGGTGTTCCTTTGTTTAAGAAGGGCAACAGGGATAATCCAGGAAGTTACAGGCTGGTGAGTCTTATATCAATGGTCAGGAAATTATTGGAGAAGATTATTAGGGATAGAATTTACTCACATTTGGAAAAATATGGACTCATTAACAATAGGCAGCATGATATTTGCAGAGAAAGTTGTGTCTTTCAAATTTGATTGAGTTTTTTGAGGTAGTGACAAAGATAATTGATGAGGACAGGGCAGATGTTGTCTACATGGATTTCAGCAAGGCCTTTGACAAGGTCCCTCATGACAAGCAGGTACAAAAGGTGAAATCACATGGGATGACAGCTGGTAAGATTGATACAGAGCTGACTCAGCCATAGAGGGGAGTGTAGCGGTTAAAGGAAGTTTTTCTGATTAGAGACCTGTGACCAGGGGTGTTCAGCGGGGATCAGTGCTGGGACCCTTGTTGTTTGTAGGCCTGATTAGTAAGTTTGAACAAAAATGGTTTACCAGGATGTTGCCTGGTTTGGAGGGTATTAACCATGAGGAGAGGTTGGACAAGCTTGGTTTACTTTCACATGAACAGCAATGATCTGATACAAGTTTACAAAATTATGAGATGCATTGATAGTTGGAGTCTTTTTCCCAGCGCAGATATGTCAATTATTAGGGAAATAGGTTTAAGGTAAAAGGGGGGAAGTTTAATGCAGTTGTGAGGTGCAAGTTTTTTTTTTAATATAGAGTGTGGTAAGTGCCTAGAATGCACTGCCAGAAGTGGTGATGGAGGCAAATTCAATAGCAAAGTTTAAGAGGCATCTTGCCAGATACATGAATAGGCAGGGGAGAGAGGAATATGGACTGTATACAGCAAAAGGCTTTTAGTTCAGAAAAGGCATCACATGTCAGCACAGGCTTGGTGGGCAGAGGTGCCCGTTCTTGTGCTGTTTGTTCTTTATTGTTTTATGAGACCAGAATTAGAAGCAGCGCTAATCTCAAAAAGGTGTTTAGGCTTGGCGGGTATAATAGAAACGGGGGCAGGGGACAAGGCCAGGCCATGAAATGATATGGAAACATGGATAAGAACTTTGAGAGGCACATTGCGATACCAAGAACTAGCATATGTCAGCAAGCATATGATGGACGAACAGCAATTGGTGTGAGGCAGAGTTTTCAATGACTTAAATTTTAAAACATGGAAGTGTCGAATGCAAGGATGGGGATTCCAGATGCAAGTGAACACAGGCCGAACAGTTAGGGGATGTTTGGGATTGAAACCACCTGCCTGAGGGATGACATAGATGTCTGTGCAGAAGCTAATCGTCTGTGGGTTAAATAGGACAATCAGCTGCTTTAGCTTTAGACTGTTTCCCGGAAGAGAGATGGAATTTGGAATGGAGACTCAAATCAATAACTTCACACCATCAATATTTTATAGGAGCCCATTAGTGAATGTCAGATAAACAATCGGATAATTTAACACTGTTCCAGAGAGGTGCTCGTGAGATAGAGCCAGGTATCATCAGTGCGTGTGAGAACCATGTTTCCGGATGTTGTCAGCAAGAGGTAGTAATAGTTGTTGTGTAGGAGCAACCACTCGCTAATAGCTAAAGCCTTGGGATACACCAGAGGCCAATGGTGCAAGAATGGGAAGGGGTGTCTCTTAGCAGCGATTCAGTATCAGTTGACAAACACAGAAGCTGAAGGGTGAAGGGGTTTGGTGTGAGTACGGACACAGGTAGCAGTTGGTGCTGCTGTGGCTACAATTATGAAGATGGATGGAATCAGGAAAGTATGGTTCAACAAAGCAGGGCAGCAGGGTGATAGAGTAACAGAAAATAACCAGGTTTGTGGTTGCAGGAACATCAAGGGGAACGAGAAGGGATAACGTTTGTCACATAGGATGGCACGTGCCCTTGGTTTATCCTACTTAAAAATTCCTTACTGAGCCCAACTTAAGACTCTCTAAGTTTTGGTAAGACCATTAAAAAAGGTGTAGGCCATTCAGCCCCTTGAACCTGCTCGACCATTCAATAGGAGACCATGGCTGATCTGGCATTCCTCATGTCCCCTCTCCTGCTTTTTTCATAACCTTCAATTCCCCAACTGGTCAAGAATGTTTATCCATCTCAGCCTTAAATACACACTAGGACTCTAGCCCCTTAGCTATCCGTGGCGCAGAGCTCCAATGCTTTGACCCTCAGAAGAAAAACTTTATCTGATTCTTAAATTGGCGCCCCTTTATACTCTCTGATCCTAGGCTCTCCCATAAAAGGGGGACATCTTCTTAGCACTTACCCTGTCAAGCCCCTTAAGAAACCAAAATGTTTCAAAGTCCTTAATCTCAATAACGGTGACCATGAAAGTATTGATTGTTGTAAAAACCCATCTGGCTCACTAATGTTCTTTGAGGAACAAAATCTGCTGCCTCTAACAGGTCTGGCCTACATGTGACTCCAGATCAACAGCAATGTGGTTGACTGTTAACTGCCCACAAAAGAACACTTTTGAAAGAATTTTGTTTTATGCATTTCTCCAGCCCCAACTCAATTTCCTCAGCGTAATACAGCATGGAAACAGACCTTCGGTCCAAACAGTCCATGATGACCATAATAATAAACTAGTCATGCCTGCCTGTGCTTTGCCCATTTCCCTTCAAACATTTCTTTTACATGTATTTCTCTAAAAGCCTTAAATGTTGTAACTATACGCACATCCACCACTTCCTCTGGAAGTTCATTCTACATACAAACCACTGCTTTTTTAAAAATAAAAATTGCCCCTCATGTCTTTTTTTCTTTAAATCTTTCTCCTTTCACCTTAAAAATATGGCCCCAGTCTTGAAATTCCCCTACCCTAGGGAAAAGACACCTGCCATTCACCTTATCTATACCACTCATGATTTTATAAACCTCTATGAGGTCACCCCTCAACCTCCTATGCTCCAGTGAAAAGAAGTCCCAGCCTATCCATATAACTCAAAACCTCCACTCGTGGCAACATCCTGGTAATTTGTTTCTGAACCCTATCCAGCTTAACAATATCCTTCTTATAACAGGGCAACAAGAACTCAACTAAACGAGAAAAGCCCAGTGATGAAGTGTAGAATAGTTCACTGCAGCAAATTAAAAACTGCAGTGTTGGAAAGAGCCAAGGCCATCAGCCATTTTGACCCAAGGCTGATAATCAGTTTGTCCCTTTGCTAGAGGATACATCCATAACAGCAACCATACTGCGGCAAGACTCCAAGCTGAAACCATCAGTCTTCAGATCGGGATCTGTGACAAGAGAATAAAACATCAGCAGGAAAGCTCTCTTTTATCCAAAGTAAATCTGTTCCCCAACCAAGAGAGGAACCACCAGGGACCTAGCCAGATCAAATACTGACATCTCCGAATACTGACTACATTGTTCGAAATTAAACACTTTATCACATTAGTTTTAATACAGCCATTGCTAAAAGTTACCAAGGTATCTTCTTTCGTACAAACGGGTAAAACTAATAAAGATTTTTATTTTAAAAAGGAAGGGAACTCAAATACTGTTCTTCCACTCTAGGGAATTTCCTGCCCAAATCTCTTCACTTTTGTCTCACTTTCCTCTTAATATACTATTTAAAACCGACATTTTCCTCCAAGTTTTTGATCATCTGAACTAACATCTTATGTTGCCCAACTTCACATCCTGTTTAATAATACTGTGAAGCCCCATGGGAAGTTTTATCATGTTAAAAAAGGTGCTAGAAAGCTTGTTGCTACTCGGGTCCACCACAAACTACAGTCTCCATTTTGGGAGGCTGAGTAAATTGGCTCTATACTATCTAGAGTTTAGAGAAACAAAAGGGGAAAACACACACACACACACACAGACCTCCAGACATGTGTAATGGACTCTGAGCTGCCATCTGAAATGCCCAACAATTCACTTGTACTAAACACCAAAAGCTGTTCACAGGAGCAGCTCAGAACTGACGCAAAACCAGGGAAACCAACATCCAGTGAATGAATCTTCAGAAACATCTCATTTCCGGGTTAATTAGCCCTCCTAAAGCAGAGTTTGATGCCTAACCAACTGATGTACTAATCAGCACAGTGACAATTAAACTCAGACCTTCCTGGGAAGGTCTGAATCTCTGAATCTCTGATAGAATCTCCCAATCACACTAGACTGCAAATCTCCCCAACCCTACTGTAACAAAAGACCTTTCTTTGAACATCATAATTCTGACTTGTCACTAATTAAAAATCACACTAATAGAATATTCATTGCGACGAAAACGTATGGAAATACAGCAATTGAGAGCCCTGCCTATGGCCAATTCATTAAGCCAAGGTGCCAAACAATCTTTTTCCCTAAAATATGACATTTGTAAAACTTGGCCCATGTCCTTAGAAAGCCCCATGTGTTCTGCAGCTCATGGGTTTGAAGCAGAGTCACTGTGGACAAACAAATAACTAAAAACAGGGTAAATGGGGAACTTGTATCTGATCTGGATCCTAACACCCCCTAAAAACAACAAAAAAAAAAACTGCTAATCAAAATGCTGTGCAGAATTACTGGAATGACTTCCAAGAGTTAAGCTATGATGCAGACATTCCAGAGTTATACAGAGTTTAGCTTATGGGCAGTTGATCGGTATTAAAAGGGGCACAAATTGGGAGAAATTACTTCTGCTTATTCTAAAAGGCCAGGAGGAAGGGGCAGCTGTGTTAAAAAAGTAGAATTGTCTGGTACACATTTGGACCTCTCTTTGATATATGACAATTGATGACAAATCAAATTGTTCATCTTAAAACTAAGATGGTTAGATTTGTGTTAGCTCTTGATATTAAGGAATACTGATGGCATTAGGTCTTAGTTCTGGGCTAGAGTTGAGACTCGATATTGCTGATCCCTATATAACCAACTTAATATAATTGCATCATGTGAAGATGTAGTGTGAAGGCCATGAAAAAGACTCCTACTTACGTCTGCATACAATCTTGTTGAGTATGTTCTTCAGCTCAACAGGACTCACTTCCATGTCCTGCAAAGAATCAAATCCCTCTTAGATTACCGCACTCAGATTTATTCCAACAGAATCACTCAACAGCTCACCAAGGCTCCTCTGACAGCACCTTCTAAACCCACGATCTCTACCAACCCAAAAGTTGAGGGTAGCAGATGCACTGGAACACCAGCCCTGCAAGTTCCATTCCAAGCCACACACCATCCTGACTTGGAAACGTATTGCTGTTCCTTCATGGTGGCTGGGTGAAAATTCTGGAATTCTCTCTCCAATGGGTGTACCTCGAGCACAAGGACTGCAGTTATTCAAAAGAACAGTTCATTACCACCTCCTCCAGTGCAATTAAGGAAGGGCAATAAATACTGGCACACCCAGAGACACCCATGTCCCTTGTGTGAATAAGAACAACTTAAATTTCATTACTTCACAAGAACAACAAAAGGATCAAGTGGCAAGAATTTATCTTAACTCAATACATCATGGTTTTAATGTTAAACGGGTTTCACTGTTCTCTTCACCCTCCAATCCTCTGTAAGGTCAATGTGAGGTCATTACAAACTGGAAAATGGATCAGGGTAATTTCTCACACTCCAGCCAACGGGTACGTGGGTTTCATGCACTGAAATATCAATAGCAGCTTCTGGGCTAAATTGAATTCGCCTTGCTTCAACAGCTGAACCTCAATTGTACAGCAACAGAGTCTGCTCCTCTACCAGTCAATGCTGACCACCACACACCATCTATTGTCAAAGGGCAGAACAACAGCTTCTTCTCCGACGGAAAACGTAGAATTTTGTCAAGATACCTGGATTTGCAGAGAGTCCCAGAGAGACATTTCCTCTCCCCTCACCCAAGTCCAAGCCAAAACCTCAATGCTGTACCTTGAGGTAATAATGCATGAGGAGCTAGGGCCATGAGGGCAAACGGGAGCTTTTGAAATTCTCTGTAAATTAAATTATTGGGGAGAAGCAAGCCAACATGGCAGAAAGTGGAGGCAGACTACACCAGAAGACATTACCCCTCTCTCAGCATCACACGGCTGCTCTCCAGGCAAGCCAACTCTTGAGAATTGATGACAAATTGTGAATCTTGTCAAAGTGACAACAGCAGTGAAACATCAGGAGTTCACCCCCAGATACTTCTAGAAACAGAAAATAGGAGCAGGAGTAGGCCTTTGAGCCTAAACTGCCATTCGCTATGATCATGGCTGATCATCCAACTCAGTCTCCTGTTTCTGCTTTCTTCCCATATCTTTTCATCACTTTAGCCTAAGGACTATATCCAACACCTTCTTGAAAACATTCATTGTTTGGGCCTCAACTACTTTCCATGGCAGAGAATTCCACAGGGTCTCCAATGCCTGGGTGAAGACATTTCTTACTTGTTTCCCTCTTCCCAGAGACATAGTAAATCACTCCTATCTGTGGCCAGTGATGGAAATGTTGCTGGAGAGGTTGCTTTATTGCAGCAACTGAGGAGCACAGCAGCAGAGGCAGGAGAAACCAGGACCCACTCCTTGCTCTTGGACAAAGCAGCAAGAGCTGCAGCCCTGCCACACCCTACCTTGGGCAGGGAGCAGAGAAACGAAGTTACATGCCACCAAACCTGATGTACAATGCCTGGCAGAGTCTTCCACAAGCAGCAAGTGGAATTATTGCTCGACTCTGTATATACCAAGCCCATTCAAGTCGAAAGGCTGGTTCACACATACCAAAGCCATAATTAAAGCACCTATGCAAATACAGGCCAATAATTTCCAGTGGGGCCCAGCAATTCTGTTTGGAAGTGTTCCAGTGGTCAGATGGTAAGATCTATAATCATGTGATAATTGGTCATTTGACACTTATTGCAAAAGGGAGCTTTTTTTCTGTTCAAATGCTTTTGCTGCTTCTTCCCACATCCAACTGAACTCTGTTTAATGTCCCAATAGTCAGTGGGGGAGGTGTTGGCCTTGTGGTATTGTCCCTTGACAATTAAACCACAGATTCAGGTAAATGTTCATGAGACCCAGATTTGAATCATGGCAGAATCATTAGCGGTGGAATTTGAATTCAATAAATGATGACCATGAAACCACTGTCAATTGTCGATTCATGTGACTCAAGACCCACAGCAACTCAGCTGACTCTGGGCAGGTAGGGACAGGCAATAAATGCTGGCTTATCCGGTGATGCCAACATCCTGGGAATGAATATAAATTAAGAAATCTGTCTTACCAGGTGGCAACAGGAGGCAACTGTTTCAGCCAATACTGACTGGCACGGAAGCAGACAATGCTTTTTCCACCCTCCCTCCCCTCCCCACCCCCCCCCCCACCCCCAACAGGATGTGGGGCATCCCTAATCACCCTTGAACTAAACAGTTTGCTAGGCCATTTCAGGGGGCAGTTAAGAGTCAACCACTTTGTTGTGGGACTTGAGTCACACTTAGACCAGACCAGGCAAGGACAGCAGTTTCCATTCCTGAAGGACATTAGTGAACCAGATGGGGTTTTATGAAAATTAAACTATAACTATAGATTCAGGGCCACCATTTCTGAAATTAGCTTGATATTTCAGGTTTATTAATGGAATTTGATTCACACAGCTGCCTTGTTGGGATTTGAAGCCATGTCTTCAAAGCATTAGCCTGGGCTTCTAGGGTTACCAGCCCAGTGTCATCACCTCTATGCCACCACTGTGTGGCCACATTGGATAGAATAAGCTTTTGTAAACCTTTCCAGTGATAAAATTTGTTGTTTAGCACTCAGAGGTGTGATAACAGAGGTTTATGAACTAATTATTAAACTTCTAATTGGTTAAATTTGAAAACCTTGACATTTTCAAATAAATCAAATTTCTACTTTTATGAAATAAAAACTGAAAGAACTGCAAATGCTGTAAATCAGAAACAAAAACAGAAGTTGCTGGAAAGAAACGGTTCTGGGGAATGGTCACCAGACCTGAAACACTAACTGATTTCTCTCCACAGATGTTGCCTCCTTGGGTTTGTGGCCACACCTTCATGAGGAGATATTCAAAGGCTCACATTCCGAGAAAACGTGCATGAGTTAACTATAATTGCACTTCAGTGTGCTGACCCCACCCTCAAAACTAAATGCTTGAACTGTTGCTGTAAGTTACAAAACTTGTTACAATTATTGAAGGCGACAGGAGAGCACTTGCTGGATGAACTGCAAAAGTTGGTGGCCCTCTCCCAAATTCCTACTTAACAGGAGAGATGTGCAATTATTAAAAAAAATTCAGTCATGAAATGCAAGTGTGACAGCTTAGTCTAACATTTGTTACCCAGTCCTAATTGCCCAGAGGGAGTTAAGTCAATGCTGAGAGTCTGGAATCACATAGGTCAACCCAGGGATGGTGGCAGTTTCCATCCCCGAAAGGTTATTAGTAAATAAGATCGGTTTTTATGACAATAGCAAATCCCATTAGGCCAGCTTTTACTCCAGGTTTCTATCGGGTTCAAATTTCATCGTCAGTCAAGTTAGGATTCAAACCAACGTGCTCAGAATGCTAGCCTGGATTACTAAGCAAGGGAGGCACAAAGGGGGACAGACAGACAGAGAAAGAAAGAGAGAAACCACTTCCAATCACAGAAACATCCATTGATCATAAGCCTCATTTCCTGTTGCTGAGCCAATTCTGGATCCAATTCACCATCGGTATCCCCTGGAATTGCACTTTTCTGATTAAACTGTCACGTGACCTCGTGAAAAACCTCTCTAAATGTACAGTACTGTCTTCATCAATCCTTGTGGCTACTTCCTCAAAAAGTATGATTCAGTAATAGATAATCTTCATTAGAATTGTGGTGGGAGGATAATCAAGCTCCACTACTGCTTCTGTCACACCATCAATACAAATTTTTGATTCAGTCGTGAAGGGGAGTTGGGGGTGAGAAAGAGGTGGGGGGCAGAGGGGGAGAAAGAATGCTTCCCTTTATAGAACACCGTTTAAAATTAGAAGTCTCCCATATGGATAAAGATGAGGGGGAATTTCCTCTCTTTGAGGCATTGTTCTCTGGAAAAGCAAATTGGCACTGTGCCTCTGAATCAGATCAGTGATCTTATTGAATAGTGAAACAGGAAAAGAGCTAAATGCCTCCAGCAGCTCCTAGTCCTGGTGTCAGCTACAGTCCTGACTGAATGGCCTTAGACCGTCTCCAAATTCTCTCCCCTTTAAAACCTTGGGGGCTTCAACCGAAGAACACTGTACCAATACGTCACCTGCTTTAAACACAGGCTCAAGTTTAAACCTCAGCCATTATTAACATGTAACTGAAGAATATGAAAGCAAAGACTGAGTCTCCCAGGTGTAGGAGAGGTACAATAAAAGATATCATCAGCCAAATTTTTAATTCAGAACAGTGAGTGTATCCCTACAGAGAGCACACATACAATGTTCAGAACAGCTCATAAATATTCCGAAGTGTGCCTGTAATGCTTACATCTCCAGCCAATTGTTTGAAGATCGCTCTGAACCTTCGTTCCTCCTCAGTCTCGTAGGCCTCAATCTGAGAAACATGGCGGGGCTGTTCGGCCTAGGAAACAGGCAATAGATGGTCAGTAAAACCTGAATCACAGGCCCTTTATAGAATAGGATATCAAAGCAAAGAGACTAGAATATCATCATCTACAATCTTCTTTACCACAGTCAAAATGCAGAGGTATTTACAGCTTGTCTCAAAAATGGATACATCTAATACAAGATGCTCAGGAATGATGATTGTCAACTCTGGCTTGATAGGGTCCTGGAGGTAATCACATGACCTGCTCACAAGCACTCAGTTAAACCCTCTTTACCCTATTGAGGGTATCTTGTTTTAAAAAGATGATTAGGAATCCTAGGGGCATAACATTCTGCAGATTATCGCTAATTAATTCCTGAACTATCCCAAGGATTGGTCATCTTCACCAATGACAATGGTTCAGTAGAAGAGACAATAAATGCAAGTAATGTTCAGGCTATTCTAAATGGCAGATTGACAGAGCGAGAGAGAGAGAAGCAATAAAGGTTTTCCAGATTGAGATGGCATGAAAGGAGGGCAAGAGAGACCCTAGTTTCAATACAGAGTAGGGGAAGCATGTTTGGGACAAGATTATTTAACAGATAGGAGAGAAAGAAATGCTAATTTCCTAATCTTTAAAATAATAACCACAGCATCCAACAGAACAGTAAAAATCCCAGTATCTCAATCTCCTCTTACTTGAACGCCTACATCTTCTAATTGTCAACGGTTCTGCCAACGGAAAACAGATTTCCCCACCTTGTTCTACCAGAACAATTCATTTTTCCTCTAGCAAATCTTCTCTTAACCTTCCCAGCTCCAAGAACAATCCTAGTTTCCACATGTGGCTGAAGGAAAAGACAGCTTGGCACCATTGTGCAATCTTTCCACAGTTCCTGATTGGCCATCCAAGCATGGGTCAGTGTTCCTCATATCTCACTATTCTCAGACTATGATACTGTCTTTCTGGGAATCTCGTCTGCAGGCTGTTAAGTGATGAATGCAAGGACTCACCAGAGATCTTACCCAGTCCGGACTCACCAATTTGTGATGGGATGCTTCCCTGATAGTTGAGGTCATGGCACGCTAACACAGAGTGCACACACCACACTGCAAACCCTTAGATGACTGTACTCCCTGCTAACAGCTACACCACATGGACTGCAGTGCTTCAAGGAGGCAGCCCACTGTCACTTTAAGGGCATCTAGAGATGAGAAATAAATGCAGGCCCACCCAATGATGACCACATCCCATTTAAGTTTTTTTTTTAAAATTCAGTGTCACTGTTAAAGCATGTATTTGTAAAGGCTGGGTTGTGTTTATTTTTCCACAACACTAGGGGACACAAATACTGTCACTTCTACATTCAAGTGAACAAGTTGGCTTGACACAGACTAACAATACTGTGCAGACCATAACCAGTTGCATGTTCCTATATGCACAAAACCTATCTCACCTCAATTGCCCTATTCTGTAAAATAAGCGTCTGACAATTCACTGAAGATAAATAAGCAGGAAATTCTGGAAAATGAGATTCCTGACTTCCAATGTGGAGAATTGAGCAATACTTTTTGGTTTAAAAAACTAATAAAAAAGTTATATTTAATAAAATAGTTTAGAAAATCATCTCATAGGGGTGTGTGAATTCATGTGCATATTAGCCAGGTGTTCCTAACATACTTCCAGCTAGACATTTGTAGTATTCGTAATGTTCCAGATATTGCTTCCACATCTAGACATCAGAAAGTTTTTGAAGGCAGTAACATGCTGAGACATGCACTCACAGCCACTAGTCGCTCTGCAATACAATTCAACCAAGAAGTTACTCTCCCTGGCTCAATATAAGCAGTTAGCAGTGATGGCTTCAGTCACACTGTGCCTCATGTCCAGTGACTGTTGAATGGCAATGCAACTATCATCCTGGCTGATTCTCACTGTAGTAGTACAGTGTACAGCAGTAAAGACAACTTTCTAAAACTCTAATCAATGAGTTACAGCAAACTTCAAAACATTAAAGTAAAACACTTCATGTTTAGTTTAAGCTTAAATGCAGTTTTCAATTGATTTAAAACCAAGAAAGATTCAAGATACTTACTGGGCCAGCTACCATTTGTCTGAGGGCGAAACATGAGAGAACAGAAAAATAAAAATTAAGATGTTGTAAACACGAAACATTTCCAAACCAATCTGAGATATGAAACTTTAATCAGAACTGCGTATAACATACACCACAGAAACAGACTACTCAGTCCAGAGTTTATGTTCCAGGTTATGCTTCTCATACTCTTGGGACATTCTCCCAAACAGACTGAAAATCCTCAAGTATGCTGGTTCTGTGGACAACCAGCCTCCAACAATCACTGCTATAAACCCCTTCGACTTGCCCAAGTACATTTGCTACACTAACGTTTCGGAGTTAAAGTGCATTTCAAAATTATCCTATTACAAATTATTTTTGTCAAGCAATTACTGAGACTAATTCCTCTCATGTTTTTTAAAAAAAATCTATTAATCTGAACTGTAGACATCTATATACGTAGGACAACAATTAGACACATCCAGGATAGATGCCTCACCAACCCCTCATCTAACCATTCTGTACATCAATGAAACAAAATAAAAGAAACAGAACTGTGGATGCCAGAAATCTGACAAGAACAGAAATAGCTGGAGAAACTCAGCAGGTTCGGTAGCATCTGTGGAGAGAAAGCAGAGTCAACATTTAGAGTCCAGTGACCCTTCTTCAGAACTGAATGCAACAATACCTAAAGATGATACTTAAGACAACGTTAGTTTTATTTGCAAAAGGTAGCAGGACAGGAGATAAGGTGATTATTTTTCTCTGAACATGAGTTAAACCCACTAGTACAACTGCCCAATGTGTTTACAGCTTGTCTGGACCACCTTAAGCAACGCTGGTGAGGAGGAAGAGGTTGTGAGGGAAAGAAAAAGGGGTGAAACAGGAGATTATAATTTAAAAAAAGCAAAGATCTGCAAATGAGATAGCAAGAACTGCAGATGCTGGAATCAGAAAAGAAGGGTCCCGACCCAAAACGTCAACTTTCCTGCTCCTCTGAAGCTGCCTGGCCTGCTGTGTTCCTCCAGCTCCACACTGTGTTGTTAAAGAACTGCGAATGGTGGAAATCAGAAACAAAAACAGAAATTGCTGGGAATATACAGAAGGTCTGGCAGCATCAGTGGAGAGAAAGCAGATTTAACATTTTGGGTCCAACGACCCTTCTTCAGAATTGGTTGTTGCCAGGAAAAGGATAGTATATATGCTGAAGGTGGGGTTGTGCTGTTGGGGCTACGGGTGTGGAGAGGAATAAACAATAAGTGGAGCCAGAAAGTGAGCGAGAGAGCGCGAACAGATGGTCAGACAAAGGAATGGGTAAAGGTCAGCATGGGGAAATCAATAACTGCTAATGGGGACCATTAGTAACTGACAATGGGTTGTGCATGGTAGTGGCCCATGTGCTGATAAGGCCTGGTGTGCGGGGTTGTGGTAAGCACATGGGAGAAGGTGCTCAGGCCCTATAATTAGTCATCTCCAATAGAGAGTCCCCAAAGGCTGCAGTGTCCCCGAGTGGAAAATGAGGTGCTGCTCTTCTGCTGCAATTGTAATTTAACCAACTTTTCAATTCAGAGATTCTCAACTGATCAAACTTAAAATTCCAAAACTACTAGAACCCATTCTGAAGAAACCCGACAACTTAAATCTCCTGGATGAGGACAAAGTACAGGGGAAAAAAGTACCTCAGAAAATGATTTGCTCACTTTCTCAGTTCAGCAATGGAACATTACCCGCCACCAAATGTCTGTCCAGCTCTCTAGAATGTACCTGAAACCACTAGTGTCTGACTGACTAAACTGCACAGCTCAATGTGAGGTGACAGTGGTATTCCAACAGCTTTTAATAGGAAGGTAGACTACAGGAGGGGTCAATGGTTCAAATCACACTTCAAAAACCCTAGTACATAGAGGGTAAACTTCTATGGAGTCAGATGTACAGCAAGGAAAAACAGGTCCTTTGGTCCAACTCATCCATGTGACCAGATATCACAAATTAATCTAGCCCCATTTGCCAGCTAGATGTCTTTTAAAATGTTTTAATTGCACCAGCCTCCACTAACGTCCTCTGGCAGCTCATTCATACATGAATCACCCTCTGCGTGAAAAAGTTGTCCTTTAGGTCCCTTTTAAATCTTTCCCCGCTCACATTAAATCTACGCCCTCTAGTTTTGGACTCCCCTTCCCTGGTAAAAAGACCTTGGCTATTCGCCCTATCCATGCCCCTCAATTTTATAAACCTCAGCATCCAATGCTCCAGGGAAAATAGCCCCAGCCTATTCAGCCTCTCCCTGTAGCTCAAACCCTCTAATCTCAGCAACATCCTTGTAAATCTTTTCTGAACCCTTTCAAGTTTGGCAACATCATTCCTGCAGCAGGGAGATCAGAATCTGAACACAGTATTCCAGAAGTGTCCTTACCAATGTCCTGTACAGCTACAACATGACATCCAAACTCCTGAAAGGCATAGCTGTTAGAAGGAATTGAGGAAATTACTACCCCACGCTCCCCCCCCATCCCCCAACCCCTCATTCTCAAGAGGGTGATTGGGGTCTGGAATACATTGCTTGGGAGGGTAATTGAGATGGGTAACCTCACCACCTTTACAAAAGAAGGTACTTGGATGGATAATTGAAGTGTTATAATATTCAAGGCTACAGGCCTAATGCTGGAAATTGGAACCATTGCAGATTGGGTTTTTTTTAAGCGGTCATAGATTTGATAGACCAAAGAGCCTCATCTGAACAATATTATTGAATGATACACCAAAAGCTAGGCTTCCATCTTTTCTTCCAGAAAGATACCATGGCACCTTGCCAGTCCCTCAACCAACATCACCAAAAAGGATTATTAGACCACTACCATCTTGCAGGTTGTTCGATCTTGCGATGTACTACTTGTGACATACAAATCACAGGATTTAAACACTAATGGTAATCTGTAAACTCACTCGAGCAGATTTATGTTCATTCTTCCACCCTCCCGCCCTCAGAATGAAGCTTGTACTGACTGACAAGCTGCAATATTAGATAAATTAGTTATCAGTCACTTATTCCAAATGCGAGGTTGTGTTTTATTACAAATGCAAAACTTCCAGTTCTAAATTTGCATAAAGCTATCCTGGTTATACAAATGAAGCTGTGGTCAGTCGAAAGGATATATATGCATCACACTGCTAAAGATCTAGTTTTACAAAACAGTGGAGTATTTGCCTCATTCACAGAGTCAGACATTTACAGGATGAGGCCATTCGGCCACGTCTACACTGGTCAAAGATCCAACTATACTAATCCCAGTTTCCATCTCTTGGCCTGTAGCCCTGGAGGCTATGACAGTGTAACTGAATAAATACTATTTAAATGTTCCAAGAACTTCTGTCTCAACCACCTTTTCAGGCTGTGAGCTCCAAACTCTGGCCAGCCTTTCTGCCTCTTACCTTAAATCTATGATCCTTGGTTATTGACCCTTGTAATGGAAAAGTGCCTTCCTATCCACCCTATCCATGCCTGTCAGTCTTTTACTTCTGTCAGGTCCCTTCTCAACCTTCACTGCCCCAAGAAAACAATCCCAATCTTTCCATATAGCACAGAACCTCCAGCCCAGGTAATGTCCTGGTGAATCTCCTCTGCATCCTTTCTCATGCAACCTCATCCTTCCTATAGTGTTGTGACCAGGACTGCATGCAGCATTCCAGCCACGACCTAACCACCATTTATACAATTCCTGCTCTTGGATTGTGCGCCTTGGCTACCAAAGGCAAGTACCCTGTATGATTTCTTAATCATCTAATCTACATGCCCTGCTACCTTCAGGGATCTATGGAAACTCACAAGGTCCCTCTGATGTTCAGTAACTCCAGGATCCAACCATTCCAAATGTCATCTCTCACCTTGTTAGCCCTCCACAAGTGCATCCCTTCACTTTTTTTCAGGTTGAATTCCATTTGCCATTGCTGTGCCCTACCATGCTGTCAACTGCGGACAACAACAGTTTGACTGGTACAATGTCAAAAAGCTGATGGAAAAGCTGTCAGGACTTGTTCTCCACTGAGTTATTGTGTAACTAACCTGAGGGGAGGGCTCAGCAGCTCATTACAAGAAAAAAAATTCAGAACAACCAACCCTGTAAAAATCCACACCCGCCGATACCAAAATGCAAGAGGCCTAGTTACTCATAAGTGCACGCCCATCTTTGAAATGTTGACACAGGATGGGGGTGGGGGTTCTCCTGGTGCAGTGGTAGTGTCCCTGCCCCTGGACTAGAAAGGCCCAGGTTCAAGTCCCACCTGCTCCAGAGGTGTGTAATAACATCTCTACTCAGGTTTATTAGAAAAATAGGTTAATTAAAAAAATGAAATATTGCCAGATATTCTCAGGCTGCATACTGTACTTGATGACAACTTTCTTGCCAACTTCTGCACTTTTTTAATCCCAGAGAATTCACAGAAATATAGAATAGTAGGCCATTGGGCCCATCGAGCCCATCGAGCCTGGCCCATAGTTCAATATGATCACGACAGATTTTCTATCTGAAAGCCATACTCCCATGTTCTTCCCATACCTCTCAACACCTTGAAGTCCTAGAACTCAATTTCTTTCTGAAGACGTCCAGAGCCTAGAGAATTTCACAGTTTCATTATCCCCCAATTAAAGACATTTCTCATCTGTCCTAAAGGCCTATCTAGTATCCTAAGACTGTGACCTATTGCGCTAAACACTCCTGACAGAGGCCCCTGCATCCAATCTGTGCAGCCCTGTCAGAATTTTATACATCTCAATGAAATCCCTCCTCATTCTTCTAAACACTGGGGAACACAAGCTCCATCAAACCAATCTCTCCTCACAAGACAATCCTGTAAACCCAGGAATCAGTCTGGTGAACCTTCACCGTACATTCTCCAAGTCTAGTATGTCCTCTCTTGCACAAGGAGACCAAAATAGCACACAGTTCTCCAGATGTGGTCTCACCAAACCCTGTAAAGCTACAGTAAGATGTCTTACTCCCGTACTTGAATCCTCTTGCAATGAAGGTCAAAGTCCTATCTGCCTTCCTAACTGCTTGCTGCACCAACATGCTCACTTTGAGTAACTGATGTACAAGGGCATCTAGGTCTATTTGGGAAATATTGATGCATAATCTATCAGTTTAAATAATGCTGTGCCATTCTGTTATGTTTTAGAGGTGGATAACTTCACATTTCCCATATTACACTGCATCTGCCAAGTATCTATCCATTCAAATCAACTTGTCTAAAGTGCCTTGAACCCTCGACATCCTCATCTCTCTCAATTCCATCCTTTTTGCCTCACCAACAAACTTGGAAATATATTTGATTTTCCCATCCAAATCACTCATCATTGAGTGCAGCTGGGACCTAGGCACTGATCCTTGCTATTCCCCAATTATCACTGCCTTCCACCTGAAAACGACCCATTTATTCCTATGTTTTCTGTTTAATAACTAATTCTCAATCCATGCCGGTATATTACCACCAAACCCAAGTACTTTGATTTTGTATGATAAGTTCTTGTGCAAGACTTTAATCACAGAATCACTACAGCATGGAAATGGGTCATTCAGCCCATGGAGTCAGCACTACAACTCCGAAGAGCAGCCCAGCCAGATCCAGCCCCCTACCCTATCCACATGACCCTATATTTCCCATGGCTAATCCACTTAGCCTGCACACCCCTGGATTCAATGGGCAATTTAACATGGCCAATCCACCTAAAGTGCACATCTGTGGACTGTAGGATGAAACTAAAGCACCTGGCAGAAACCCCTGCAGACAGTACATAAACGTACAACTCCACACAGACAGTCACCCAAAGCTGGAATCAAGCCCGGGTCCCTGGTACTGTGACAGAGCAGCACTAACCACTGAGCCACTATGCTGCCCTCGTCAAAAGCCTTCTGAAAATCCAAACACACCACATCTACAGGTTCTCCCTTATCTATTCTACTAGTTTACACGCAAACAAAGCAAGGGTGAAGTCAGAATCTTTTGCCGAATGTGGTTAGGGCTTGGAAATGTGGTGGAGGCAGGTTCAATTGAAGCAGAGGGCAGTGGAAGATTATTTAGAAAGATCTGATGTTCAAGGATATGGGGGAAAAGGTGGGTGATTGGCACTAGGTAGTAGAACTGGTGCAGGCACTTTGGACCAAATGGCTTCCTTCTGTGCTGTAACAATTCTGTGACGGTTACATCCTCAAAACAACTCCAGTAGGTTTGTCAAATATGATTTCCTTTTCATAAATCCATGTTGACTTTGTCTAATCCCATTGTCATTACCCAAATGCCGTGTTATCACATCCTTTGTATTAGACCCTAGCATTCTCCAGACAACTGATGCTGAACAAATTAGTCTGCAATTCCTTCCTTTCAAAGGAGTGAGGCTACATCTGCCACCCTCAAATCCTCCACATCCACTGACTGCACCCTACAGTACTCTGCTTAAATGGCTGTTCTCCAAGGGTAACCATTGGGAGTTTCCTTCCCAAAGGAAGCAGATGCCAGGGAATAGCAAGCAGGATCCTTTACTGAATGGCCCCTCTATACTCTGGGACCCTGAGCCAGTAACACAATGGTTAGTGTCAAGCAGAGATCAGCTAACACTGCCTGATCGTAGGAAATTGATTTCTTTGAGAAGACCAATGCCCTGTCTCAAGAGCAAATGCCAAGAATAGACCACAAGGATGATTTGCATTTGAATAGAATATGTAAGACAATAAAAGATACTAAAAAGTGTTCTACAGCCAATGAGATCCTGCAAACAATGAGATCCTGCAAACAATGAGATCCTGCAAA